ATATTATACTTTATATTGTATTATATGTATTATATACATACTACAGTAATGTTACTGACCTCCGCCGCGCGACTTTGGCGGGTTCACTGATCTCGGCCGCGCGGCCTTGGCGGGGTCACTGACCTCGGCCGCGCGGCCTTGGCGGGGTCATTGACCTCGGCCGCGCGGCCTTGGCGGGGTCACTGACCTAGGCCGCGCGGCCTTGGCGGGGTCACTGACCTAGGCCGCGCGGCCTNGGTCACTGACCTAGGCCGCGCGGCCTTGGCGGGGTCACTGACCTCGGCCGCGCGGCCTTGGTGGGGGGGGGTCACTGACCTCGGTCGCGCGACTGCGGTAGAGTCACTGACCTCAGCCGCGCGACCGCGGCCGTGTTACTGACTTTGGTCACGTGTTTACGGTATATATATACGGTATATATATATATATATATATATACATATATGCGTATGTGTGTGTATTATATATAGATATAGAATATTACATATAATATATATAATATTCTCTTTTTTACCCTTTTCCTTGTCCCGTGACTTTAGTCACGTGTTGTTTTTCCACTTCTCTCTTTCACTATATTTTGAGTTTGATTTTCATGCGTTATTTCTGACATTTTTCATATGTGTATTATATGGTTTATAATACGTATATACTATCTGTCATCGCGGTGACAGGTTGTGTTCACTGACAACACGTTAAATAAAAATAACAATAGCGTGCGCGTAGCGCTCGCCTGTGTTGTGCTAGTGTTGTAAAAAACCGATTTTATTATAATTGTTGAATGTTTCAAAAAACATTAGATAAGAAAATAAAATAATTATCATTAACTTTTCAGCGCGCAATAATCTCTGGATTGTCTAAGTTAATTTCGTTAATTGTGTTCGAAATCCGCTCCTAATTTCTCGCTGTGTTCTGTCTCGAGAGAGTCACTCCCTCGGGGTCACTTAATTTTTATTTTCATCAATCACCCTCGGTACCTACGTCCATCCGTTCTGGTTCACCGCGATCGCCGTGAAAGTCGGGTTAGTTTAATTAGTTTAGAAGCTCTTTGCCGACACACCGACATTCCGGAGGTATGTGGCCACCTAGCCTTTAATGGTAAATGAAAGTAACTGCAGTTAAACGAAAGAACTCCGCGCTGTCTCCACCTACACGTTCGTCTTCCATTTTTATCGCTTGGTCTTCCGTTCTTTACGTTCGCTATTTCAACGTTTTATGTATCGTTGACTCGAAACGGTATGTATATATATTTTGGATTATACTTAATTAAAGACGAAGAAAGAGACGGCGTCTATTGAGTGGAGCTCTTTTCAATCGTTAATACAAAATTCAAGTCCATAAACGATGAACGACTCGTCGGCGCCATTGATGTCGCGTTTGATCGACGCGAATTAGCTTCTTCCGAGCGAGTTTGCCATTAAATATTTGCGTAATTGGCGAACAGCCGTTATGTTAGAGAGCGAGCTAATACAAAATTGCCAATGCTCAAGAGACTACAGGCCAGTCAGCTTACTAGTCCGATATCGCAATATTAGTAGGACCTCTGAATTATTCATTTGGCGTTACTGTGTATGCCATTAGTAACGCGCAACACAATTTGACATAGACGGTTAATTTGACGCATAACATAACTGAAGATATTTAGTCTGTGTACAGAGGCTATCACAGCGATTTGTGCACTTTCTGCATTTCGTTGCAGAACGCAAATAAAATATCGCTTACGTGGCAAAAATATGACGAATGCTGTGGTGGTAAAACGGCGGAAAAATGTTGTAGACGTCCCAATATAGCAATGTTCATCAACAACCATTTTGAAAAGCCAATTGTGATTCGACAAGTTTAATTCTAACGCAAAAAACCATTTCATTCCCGAACCGAAAACTAATGTAAGCAGAGTATAACAATGTGTCGGTCTGTGTTGGAGAAAATTCAGGTACAAATATCAAACCTGAAATAAAATGTAAAAAAATAATATTCTTTTAGATATGCAACATATGTTTCTAAAAAAATTTAAAATAAGAGCAGCACTTTATTAATAATAAAACCATCGCTTTTCTGGTTGAGAAAAAGTAGTACAACTACAAGTTTGTGATTTTTTAAATCGCGCACACCTAAAGGAACTCGTAAATATAGAAACCAATGACAAAACTTGATTCCTTTAGCAATCACTGTTACACTATTATTTACGCGCGCGTGTGTAATCCTATGAAATAATTTCCCAAAAGAATTCTCTAAAAGGGAACACACCTCGGCTGTTCTTCGACACGTTCCGCTCGCATCCACTATCAGACACGGCCGATCGATCCGATTGAATCGCGACTCGGACGTGTCCTTGGTGCGTTTGCGGGAACACGCACAGCGGAGGCAAATGAAATTCCCAGCCTGTCGAAAACAAGTTTTATTTCGTGGCACTTTCGGTTTGATGGGGGGCGCGCGCGCGCAGAAGGGCGTTGCGGATTGTTGCGCTAGGCGAGGGATTGCGGTCGGGGAGATGCGAAGGGGATGAAGTCGAGGAAAAAGAAGAGGGTAGCTTCGCTCAGCGGTACCGACGATGGGCGACGAGAGTTTCCATTCTTCGGCGAAACTTCTTGGCAACTCGTTTGAACGCCACGACCAGCCTCTCCACTTTCTTCCGAGTCTTATTTTGCTCGCTGCCGCCGCCACTGCTCGCGAAACTTTTCTCGATTCCTCGGAGGTGTAACATAATATTTTTGCGGCTCAGAGCCGGAGACCGCAAGAACCGCGCGTTGGAATAACGCGGTTATCGAGTTCCGGGATTTTAACGTTATCAAATTTGTTATCAGTGCACCCGCGGCGATTACGAAGTTAACATCGTGACACTTTGCTTCTTTCGAGGAAATCGATCGATGCATCGGCTGCGAAACGATTTCATTAATTAACGCGTACTTATTGCTTTTTAGAAACATCGTTATTTTGTTTTTTCATCAAATTTGTATCATTTACGTACGTGTTTCAAATAATTATAATACATCCTTTAGATTGTTGAATGTTCAAAAGTGCAGCGTTGCGTTCGAAAAACGAAAAGCCGCGAACGTCACCGTGCAAAGTCGTTAATGTTTCACGGAATCGTTACGCAGATCGAGCCGACCGGTGGGAGGTGCTCGCGTCATAATGGCGAAAGTGTGAAAACACGTTGTCGGCAGACTAATTAAATTTCTGCATTATTACAAGGACGACCGTTTCTACCACTCGGCGGAGTTTTAATCTGGCGGGGTAATATCTTAGGCTACATTAGGTTTTACCCTTACTGACTGGCGCTGGGGGACCAGGGGGGTGGCAGTCAGTTGAACGGAGAAGATCGGTAGCGAGGGACGGGGGGAGGTGTGGCAGAGGCTCGGCATAAGCCGTCTGCCTGCCGGCTAATCAATGATTCAACTCGCCAATTACAGAGGCGCCTCGAAAAATATCCTCTCACTCCACCCGCTCTTCCGCGTTCTCCTAGCACGTCTAAAATATTCACCGACCGTATCTCCCTTCAATTCTATCCTTTCGCCCGTTTTGCTCGTTTCCCGACTCATCGTTGGAGCCATCTTAACCCTTTTCACACGCACACCTGTCGCTTATAATTTTGTGCACTGTATTGTATCGATATTATTTAATCCAAGCGGTTTAAGGGTTTAAATAATTCACTGTAATTTTCTTATCGCGCTTAATGGAATAAATTTATTATCTTTTTTGTCAGTGAGAAAATGAATTGAAATTTCACATCGATTTATCGAAGTGCGCATTTACCGGAAATGGAATGTAAAATGCAGTCGCTTTTGAAAATTTATATATATACTATCGTCTATCGTTATTTTTTTCTCTCTTGTGTATTCGTTGTCACGCAATTTCATTATGTTTAGGAACGTTAAACTGTTTCAATTACAGGAGTTTATCCGACGGTAAAGCGAGACGGGAAGAGCTCGTTTAGAAAAAGTTCCGATCCGCGTTCACGGCCGCGTGCCTCGTCGCTTGCCGAAGTCTATTCACTGCCATTCCTCTTCAAATTATTCTTTCGCAATTTAATCAACCGGTTATAAAAGAACTTGGCTTGACCTTACAACTTTATTTTTGCATCTCCGCAGTCCGCGCCGGTTTCTTCGCCGTTTTTTCCCTCCCTCTTGGGCGTTCTAAATTAAATTTTCTCTGCCTCCGATGCGCAAGTTTCGCTGGACGGCAAGAAGAAGAGCATGGCGGAAGACGCTCGGCTGTGTGTGCGATCGCGAGCCAAGAGAAGATCGGGGGAGAAGTGGAAATAAGAGAGCGGAAGCGCAAGGGTAGGTTAGCGGAAGGGAAGGATGATGTAGAACCGTGAGGAGGGGAGTAGGGAGAAAAGCAAAAATAGAATGTACATAAAAAATACACGGCTGTGTGCGCGCAAGCGGTACACGCTCTCCTCTGCCTCGACTCGTTGGCATGAAAAATTCACTAGTTGCCCCGGCTCTTATTGCAATCTTCGTTCATGGAATTCTCGCGAAATTTAGCCACCTACAGCAGGACAGAGGGCGAACGACCCTCTTCGACGTATACAAGCCCTTTCTTTCTTCCGCCGTGTTTCATCTCGAAAAGACGTTCCTCCTCCGAGTGCTGCGCGAATAGTATCAGAGGCACAGAGGCTGGCATGGCCTCTCCTCTCTGTCTCTCTTTCTCTTTCTCTCTCTTTGCCTTGGAATGATTTTATTAAATTTGCTCTTATATCATTCCGCTAGGCTGTAGTCTATTGGTCGAGACGATGGTGCTGTTGCTTGGGAACGTAGCGCGGTATGCGCCATTGTTCCTTTTATCGCGGCGATCTGCAGCAACAATGATATCGAGTCGAGCTTTATGTATCTTACGAGACAGATCGAACGCAATTACATTACGTCCGTAATATCTTACGGAATATACACGCACTTATTTAAAAAAAAACTAATCTGTACTTTTACAAATAATTGAAACAAAATCGAACTGTTACTTTCACATCCTTTGTCTAATGTGTGGGTGCAATTTTTTTGTTGTTGCAGAGTGTGTTTGCCCGTTACCGTCCGTTCGATCGTTTGCGTCGTAATAATTTATTTAAGCGCTCTCCATCGAAACAAGCGAACGCGAGTGTTAATTTGTAATTTTTTTTTCCTGACATCGCGTTTCCCGTTCGCGTTCGCGAGTGCGGTGTACATCAAACCAGCAGCGCAGAGAAGCACGTAACCACTGGATTATTTGGACCCGAGGCTTCTTCGTTCTCTTTGTCGTTCGGCGGCGCAAGGTAAGCACCCACGGAAATGAACTCGAAAGAGCGTAGAGTATATTTCGCATGGGCAATGCGCGTGAAACGACTCGCGGCGTTTTGCGATAGTGGGAAGGTACCACCCGCTACCCCGACGTGGCGACGGATAGTTTGCAAAAACTTGGTTAAGTCGCTTACAAAGAGGCAAAGTGACTGGAGTCGGAGTAAAGCGAAACGCCGCGCTAACTTTCGAGCACTTCGTTATAAAGTTGGGGGAGAGTTGAATAATGTATTTTTATTATTTACCCGAAGCATGCCGTGGTGCTTGGCCGCGGTGATGTATCGGATAAAGTCGCTTGTAATTTCCGACGAACGTTAACTTTCCGCCGAAAGAAATCACATCGAATCACGCCAAACAACTTTACTGCGAATATTTATACGCCTATGCGCTAAGGTTTTGCACGCGGATGTGTTTATTTACAAGGCGTGAGTTTGATCCTGTTGTCGGAAGAATTATTAGCAGTTTGTATAAAGGAAACATAAACTACACCGACCGTGTTGATATTACACCGGAAAGAAAAAAATTCGATTAAAATGAAATAATAAGTTAACGTTTTTCATAAATATTTAATGAACATCACATTTTTATATCTCTAAATGAAGCTTTCAGGGATTAAAAAAATACATTGTATATATATATTACAATTTTGACAAAAATTTTATAATTTAAGATCTCATCTTCAATATTCGATAATTTGCCATTTTTTTACATCTTTGCCAAAACAATTTCTTTGAATTTCTAGTGATTTTGAAAGCTTTCCTCTAGGAGAATGTACGAGGCGGTAATTAATTTACGAATCCTGACGCGGAGATACGTTTCGCGAAACTCGCATGAAGGATCGAGCTCAGACACTGTTCGAGTAGTCGAAGCGGAAAGCGCGCCCGCCCACTCGATAATGCATCATCGCGTTGCACTATTTCACAGAGAAATGCGCCGGCACGTTTGTCGACCAGAAGAGACGAGCGATTACGAGCGCGACGTACACGCGAGGCGTAAATCTTGATGCGCGACTGGGATTTAAGAGGCCACCTTGCCGAGTGCGTGACGAAACCGACGCAGGACGAAGCCAAGTTATGGTCTCTAATTTATGGCACGACCGCAAGCGAGCTGCCGAAGTTTAGCGCTTGGTAGAGACGCCCGAGATTTAAGCCCGATTGCAATTGACACGGCCGGCTCCGCACTTTTGTTCCTTCGTTCTCGTAACGACTTTAGTTAGTTATTCGACTAGGTCTACAGTAGTCAACGCTCTCGCCAAGTTAGTTTGCTTCACTTCGCTGCACCCGCGGTCGGAAGTTAACGAAGCGCGCGTATGTCGGCAGAGAAGTAACGCCTCGTGTAAACGGTCAAGTAACTTCTATGCATTTACGAACACTGTAAAAGCGAGCCGCGCTCATCAAGTTTATCGTGGAGAAAGTTAACGTGACGTAAAAGTAAAAAAAAAAAAAAACATCTTTGCAAAATGTAATTAAGATTTCATGTCGCGAAACAAGTTATGTAAATCAGGGAGATGATTTACGATGGTGAAAGGTAGAATCCGATCGAATAATAATGCACGCGTATAGCGTTGGAAATGCAAGATGTCTGCGGAAATTATTCGGGGACGTAAATGTGGGACACACGTTTTTCCTCGAGCCGTTTGCGCTTCCGCACCACTGCAGTCACGCATACCGTGCACTGTTACGCATCTATAGTAGCAAACAAAATGGAATTTTAAAAATTGAATCGCCGAGACTCCGCGCGCTTTGCGCTCAGCAGCGTATTACAAAAGCGCGGCGGCAATTTCATTCATACGTAATAAGATGGGCGCATCTGGCGCCAACGCACGTAACGGATGTCTTGTCATCGCTTTTTAGAGAGAGACTTGAGACTTGTTTTCAATATTAAGGCACTTCGCGTTATTTATAAGCCATTCCGGGCGCGTGTCTCCCGTTTTGCCATCCACGCACAGACTTTCTCTCTCTTTCTCTCTCGTTTCTTTGTCTCCTTTTCTCTCTTGTTGTCTTCCTGGTATTCGGGACGAGAGAGACAAGCGTATTAGATATTCAGTTATAAAGAGGCGGCGTAATATTCCACACAGACCACCACACACGTCGGATGGGCGAAACAACGCGGGGGCCACAAGTGAAATGGCGGAGAGGAGGGGAACGTTTGTGAGGTCTGCAACGAAAATTAGCATTTTTTCCATGCGACCGACCTGCGTAGCTAATATCACGGATATAAAGAGGCAAGCGAGTGGTGTGGCTAGAGGGGATTTGCAGCCGGAGGGCGAGGAAGAGGCAAGGGGTAAAAAAAAAAAAAGCAAAAAAAAATACAAAAAAAAACCAAGCGTATTTGCCGCGGAAAGATTAACGTGTAACGAGCTTCCGTGAACAAGCTGACGTTAAAGCTTTTTGCATAAACGCACGTCTGGTTTTTGATCGCGCTCACGCTTCGCCGATGTCCATAGACGCGGGTCCCGATGTGATCGCTTCATCATCGCCTCCTACGTGAGCGCGTGATTGTAGGAAGAGAGAAGAGATTGGCGCGTATCGATTTTGGCCGGAAACAACGTCACACGATGGTTGATCGATCGCGCGTGTATTTGCATCGCGATTTCAAAATTGCTCCCGCACACAGAGGCGAATTTATTAAGATTGGATTATTGCTGTAAAGTTTTATGATATGGCTCGTGTTTCGCATGTTCTGCTCAAAATCGAGTATCGAAACAGACAGTAGCTTATTCACGTCATGTTTTACATTGATTGCATTCGTCGATTGCAGCAACACAATCGACACGTTCATTCCTTAAGCGGCGGAGATGTAATACACCGTCGATACTACATCGTTAGTAATTAGCAGAGTATCGGAAGTAGTTTCGACACGCGCTCAAAATCATGTCGGGGAATACGCGGGCTATTTGTCAGATTAACGTAATTCGCTCTTTAACGCTCGAAATTTCGATGGAATTTCGTCGATGGCTCGCGATGACGGTGAAATATTGACGTAACGGTGGGATTGCCCTCTTCCCCTCTCATCCAGACCTGGACGTATCATGTGCTCATTTTGCGAAAACCATCTCATACCGCCTCGAAATGGCGTGTGCCCGAGTGACGAATTGCAAAACTAGATAAACGCTCGGCGCGACATCGAAACGCGCGCGGGACACACGCTCCCTCGTGAATACGCGCCGGCCGCAACATTTACTATCGGGGCCGGCGTTTAATAATTGATTAATCGGATGATTACGGGACAGATCGAATGATAATGGTGCATTATTTAGGGTAATCAAGCTGCATTATTGAGTGTCTGGCGAAATGCGGTTAACGCCATGCATGTTTCAAAGGCGCGACGTAGGTCCACACACATTTGGCGCAAAATACGATTATTTCCCCAGCTTCTCTCTCTCTCTCTTGTTTCTCGCACGCGCGCTGATTAAGATCTATACATTTACTCCTGTGAACGCAGCGGCCTAACTTTAACAAAGTAACAGTAACGTAACAGTAATGTTATGTTACTGTTACTTTGTGTTTACTGGGAATTCTCAAAATTCCGCCATCTTTCGACATCGCTTACAATTAATGCACTTGTGTTTGAGATGATCCGTGCAAATTGCGAGCTCAAAGAATATTACAAAAAAATTATACGATTCTTTTTAGTCTTATTGTTTACTTATAACGTCAAATGCACGCTTACAGTCAATAACTTCTTATTAAATAATATTATAATTCCATGTTTTTTCTTTGCGCGACAATAAGAAAACTAATTTTATTTCACACGTACACACAAAACTTTTCTCTGTCAAGCTCGGAATTTTCTTCAAAAGCAGTTTACGCTACAGAACTGTCATACTTTAAACGTGCAAATCTAATCGGTTTGACCGCTCGCTCGCGTTCTTTATTTTACCGCTTTAACTAAAAAAATCTCATTTTTGACGGCGTACAAACTCGCTCCGACTTAACGCAGAGAATTTCTCTCTGGCAACGCGAGATGAGGTTTTGCGACACTTCTCAAGTCTCGGGTTTGCTCCCGTCTCCTTTCTCTTCGATTACCTCTCGCGGTAAGCTTGTTATTTCGGCTACGTGCGGTTTAAAAGCGACCGCTGAACCGGATCGCCGTTCGCAAACGCATTGTGCGCGGAATAGATGCCCCAGTACGTGTGTGGATCATACGATTCCATTGTCCCGGTCCCTTGTCACACTCCGTGATATATCTCCTGATACCTGTGGGAAGGCGCAAATGCTCCCGAAGAACACCTCGATCTATGTAACACAGTACGCGCGACGGTTACGCGCCCTACGTGCCCGCGTAAAAGACGTCCATCAAGCACCCTCGCAGACGGCAACCTACTTTTACCGACAACGGATCTTCTCTTTCATTTCGTCAAATTGAGAAGCTATCCTAGTATCTATCCATCGTGCTCGGGAGATTTGCGGATGATGAGTGCGTTCGCGGAAAGAATGTTTGCGAAAAAATGTTCGCGACACACGCGATTCACTATACTTCGAGTAGGTACTTTGGTTTTTCCTTATTTACGGAAAAAGTTTTTACGAATAATTTCTCGAATAAATCGATCGATGCAGCCGCAATTGTTGCGGGTCTTGGAAAGTAATGTCGCTCCATTTTGCAAACTTTGTAACACCTCGGTAGCCAGCCAGCGCATTTCTGAAAATCTATGTTATCAGTTATCGTTTCCTTGAACGATCGCTTGTTCGGAACTTGCCGCTCGGTCGCCCTTGGGATGTTGCAACTATTTTACGGCAAATCGCGACAATCTTTCACCTTGGTCGCTTGTAAAAAAAAATAGCTGATATAACTTGGACGATATATTTTATCGGTCGGGTCACATTATTCTGAATTCTCCACCTGTGTAATTCAATTTCTACTCCGGGCAATTCTCGGAGTGCAACAAATTAAATTTAAAATCACGGACTCTTAAACCGACCTAATTATTATTCTTCGAATAGCTCTGTGATAGAGCTTCTCTCCCAATATGGATGCGCTTTAATTCGGCGGTGTGTATCGATTTGGCGGTTGCGATTCGTATCAGCCAGTGCGATAAAGTCGGCACGCGCGCACAAACTTTGTTGTGTGCGAGTGTGATAAATTAGTCGGGCCTTCATAAACATTTCACAGCTGCTGCCGACATCCAGAGTCCGTCCCCCGAACCCCCTGTATCGGCGCACCTCCATGTTGCAATCAGCAATCCCTTTCCTCGCTCATCGTACCTCACGTATTGTCCCTCGGTCCTCGCATCGGACAGGAGAGAGAGAGAGGGAAAAAGAGAGAACGAGCGTCACTCGATACTTTATAGCCGCGGTTTGACTGCTGCCAGTGAATTTTTTTCCGGTCGAACCGGACGCGCGATGGGCGCGAATGGAATCCTCACGGTATGATCAACGGACGTGTAATTTATCGACTGGAAGATTGGAAACCAGCCAGTAATAGCTATCGACCGTTCTCTATCTCCCTCTCTTCTCCCCGTTAGAGAACGGCATCGTATTCGAAGGCTTCGTTTCCTAGGGCTTCTTCAAAGAACTTCGCTCTCTTTGCGATAAAGGGATTTCCAGACTATGAAGTTCCGCGAATGTCGGTCGTTTCGCGGACTATAAGACTCCATTAAAGCATACTCTAATACGTGCACATCCAGTTGTCTGAATCGGAATTAAAAAGAATCGCGGTAATCGGCTTATGCAAATAATTCTGTGTGGGTTGCAATACATTCTAATTGCAAATGGAAGAAAACAATTTGATCGGGTATAAAATTAATTACGCAACTCTAATCACTGAGTTATATTTGAAAATAATAAATTTTTATTTAGCAGAGAGAAAGAGGGAGAGAGAGAGAAAGAGAAGAGAAGAGAGAAAGGACAGAAAAAATAAAAGAAATCAAGTCTTATCTTGCGCGTTTTTGCGCTCTCGCGGCGAAGTAAATTTTATATTGTATCGATTCTTCTATAAAACGGAAATTATCGGCATCGATGTACAATTAAGTCGAGAAAGGTCAATACTGACGGGGGCACGCCGACGAAAGGGAATTGCGTTGGGAATTTAGTTAATCGCGAGCGGGACGTTTTAAAAACATTTCGATCCTCGAGGCTCCGTTACGGACACGCCGTCCAGATACACTACTGGCCAGCTGCCTGGGATTAAGTCCGTTTTCCTCGCCGTTAATGGTGGGAAAAGGATGGAGTTGTGCGAAGAGTAGAGATACGATGAGAAAGGGGTGGCACGACGAGTAGTTTGGAAAGGAGAAAGACAGAATACTTTGTCGTTCGAATTGGAGGCGAAAGTTCTGTTAGAACCAGGTCGTAATTCTCGCCGGGCGTCTGCAAAAGGGACCAAAGAAAACGGCCAGCTCGCAAAAGAACAAAGGGTGATGGTAACCTGGACTCTCCAACACGTCCCGCGTAACGTGCTGTAAATCGTGTCTATGCGATTTATTTATTTTCGGTGAGATAGTAATCGTACGAATATAAGAACGAACTTTTAAACGGAAAAAAGAATATCAAACTTATTTACACAATTTTAAACAATAAGGGGAGGTTTAAAAGAGAAACTATGTAAGTGTGTATTATGTATGGTCTATTCATCGATATAAAAACTCCACATTTCCACACGTGGAGTATTCCGCGTGTTCTCTTTCTGATCTTTCTCTGCAACAATTGAATTTAAAACGAGATTTAGATAATTAAAGCGTATTGTTATACCCGCTGCTATATATTATGATTTGAAAAGAAGAATGTGCGGCGCACTGATGTGTATGTGTGTGTGTGTGCGTGCGCGCGTGGAAAATGTTGGCATCCGTTATAACATGTAATTACGAAAAGCCGCGCGCGCGCTACAAAAGTTGAGCAAACTCACGGCGCAACATTCATGCTCTCTAGACGTCTTTATTTGCGAGAGAATAATTAGGAAAACGAAAGTCGACGGCCAAGGGGATGTAACGAGGGCAGCCGAAACAATGTTCTTAAACCGCCCTTGTTCCGGACCGGAATTCTAGCCACATCCGCTGCCTCGGGTCCGGCAGACCTTGGATGCATACACACACATACACACACAACTCCAAACGTGCGGTATCTGTGTAACGCGCGCGCCGTCCACATACCAAAATATAATCCGGTAGATTGTAATAGGCACGATATTAAATTTAGTTCGCCCGGAAACCCGGCAGTAAGCACACGGTCCGAGCATTAACTTAAACGCCACTGTTAAGCCGCGTAATTAATTATCGTCGGTTTGCTTATACACGCGCACTCTCGCGTCCGCGAGCCTCTACTTCACTAATTACGACGCTATAATCAGGCCGTGATTTCAGACCGAGAGGAAAAGCTGTAAGTACCATTGGATGGTTAACTCTTTGCGTGCAATAACGTGGCTCCGAAAATCCAAGCGGGGGGGAGGAAGGAGGGACTCTCCTACGCGTATATTAATTCTCCAACTTTGGAGAAAATCGATTGGACTCGTGTAGAAAGCCCATTAACGCACACTCGTCTCGCGAAATGCTACATCCACTTAACGAAATTTTCTACGGTTGCTTAAAGAGGAGGGCAGGGTGCGATTCTCTTTTCAGTAAGACCGAAAGCAAGTCGAAGGGAAGAAGAATACGTTTGTCATAGACTTTATCGAATCATTCCAGTGACAACCGTAGACGAATAATTCGGAATCTTATTCGTTTCCGTTCGGTCTTCTTCGTGACACTTTCGCACTCCGTGCTCACCCACGCGCGAATTTTAGGGCATCAAAGTCGGCCTCGCGCGCAGCTGCTCTCTTCGCGAATTTCGACCGGTCTCTCAAGTACAAGAGGTTCGGTGCGAGCGGAGGGTCGATGCTTTTAGAAGATTAATTTGTACACTGTTCTGCTTCGGCGCGTCGATAAGAATAGGCGTTCGCTAACAAAGTGAAAAGTTCTCTTACGAAAGCGTCGGCGCTGAAGAGCGCTGGCAAGCTCTCCCGTTCGTTTTGTTCGAATTTTTCATGAGAATAATGGATTTTTCTACGTCGCGATCGTGACACACATCGTTTTCACTTTAATTCGTAACAGAAAAAAAGAAAAAAAAAACGTGTGCTGTTGACAATAGTCGATACGCAGAACAGACGATTTTTGTGAAGTATCTCGATGTGCTTTGACAGGAAATATTCATTGCCGCTGTGGAAAAGCGGAAAGTGCGAAGTTTAATCTTTTTTTCTTTACAAAGATGAAAAATTCTCGAGGAATTGCTTTCTGAACTTTCCTCACCATTGCGATGCAAGTCAAATTTTTCCCCGAGAAGCAAACATATGGAACCTCTCATACACACATACACACACACACTGTACATCTTCCATTTCATCTTGGAAAGCAAGCTGTCAGAATATAAAATATCATACGACCAAACAAAACAATACATTATAATTCCTACATTTTATTTCTTATTTCTTTTTCTTTGTACATTTGAATGTGTGTGAATACATTTACATTCCATGTGTGTTTGCTTTTTGTTTATTAGTTTAATTATTAGACGATTAGCAAAAATTAACGAATTCTTTTCATTTAATGAATCGTTTTTGACAATTTCCGAGCTTTTATTATTTTAACATTTGAGAGACTTCGCGCGTTCTGAAGAGAATTAAGACGGGCGTTACAATGCTTTTACAACATGTTACCACCCGCGAGCTGACAGGGGACGCGTTTCCGCGGATTTTGGGTCGCTCTAAGATGTCTCGCGAGTTGCACCTCCGAGGCCAGTAGTACTAACCTGTTCTTGTCCGGTTGTTCTCCTCTTTCATAGTACCCTAAAGTGACTTAACTTACGCTGATCTGTTGAAAGCTATGCCACCGAAATACGGGAAATTCTCCAACCACAATTTTAACGACGATTACGTGTTCTTCTGACAGATTTCACCTTCAGGCATTACGGACCGTTACAAACGGCGTTCCATTAACAGCAGAAGTACGTACCTATATGTACATTACCGGCTTTAATGCAGCGGTTAACAACGCTTTGATCATCTCGTCGTCGTATTAACAACGATTCAATTTACAGGTAACGTTATTTCACGGATTTGTTTTTTTGCTATCAATTTTTCTCAGATTTTTTTTGTATTTTACCAGTCAGTATGCCGTACACGTATTTACGTAAATGGAGAATAATGTTTTACAAGAGTATTTGCATTAGCTTGAGCATAATTTATGACTGTTGCGAGTTGCGTTAATGGCTGTAAGCTCTTTAAAGAACCTTTTCCGTTTGAGAAGCGACTATCTTTTTTTCTATTGGTAATATTTAATCAATTGAAAATTTGACTTAAGCTTCTTAAAGAGTACAAAATGGATCCGCTTTTAAATAGCTTTAATAAGGCTAGGCCGAGCTTTAGAGACCCAAGGAAACTTGATATTTTAGTATTAGAGTACGAGAATATTAATTATATTTTATATATACATATACATATATATATATATATATATATATATATATATATATCAATACACACACATCATATTTAGAATTAATAAAATCTATAGTTTATATTTCTCTCTTTATGAAAGCACTTTTCTCTGTCATTTTGCTTTCTCTCTTTCTCTCTTTTAACGTACAATCACATTTTTATATCTTTATTTATTTTATACACATATTCTCGTACATTTGCGCTACACGTACATTAGATTCTCCTCTATTTGTTTACATTCTGTGGTAACGGAAACGGGAACTAATATAGTTTTGAAATATCAAACCCGAAATGTTATTTTTGCGAGATCGTTGCGTATTCGTCTTTCCCGTGCGTGTTATATATGGAATATTATCGCAACGTCTAATTCTGAGGTGCAACCATTAAAACTCGTTGGTGTGGAATTCAGCGGAACGGAGATTTTCCGCGGGCGGAGATCGCAAACGACCTACTTCGCATCGTCGTTTCGACGGTTATTTACGACTTCGGCTCTAGGCAAGAGCAATCGCACGTTAATCGAGTTTATGTACGCTCGCTTATTCGCGTCAATTTAATTGTTGTATGCACGCGATTTAAATTTAGTTCACGAAATAGATTTTCTTTCGAAAAAGACGGGCGCGAAAAAATTATGTAAATATTTCACTGTAGCGAGATCTATTTGAATAACTTCTGATTTTGTTGTCGTAAATTTCAGCAACACGCACATGTGCATTCAGCAATTTTTGTCAGCGATCGAAAACGCGCCTTGAAATTTCTACTGTCAGAGCTCGTGCGCGTTACACGGTGCGGAAAAAAATGGGATTGTTCACGACGTAAAAAGTTATTATGTCGCGATGCGAATGAAACTAGTCCCCGGTATTGCGACTATCGCGATCGTGGCGCGGCGTAGTCGCCTATGTTCGCTTTAATCTCACTGAAAATCCAATTAAACTACTTTGCGATTGCGGCGCGTCCCAGCAGCGTGCCCGGTTTCCGACATGCACGAAATTCGTAACTCGCGCTCTGTAACTTGTTTGCGTCGGCTTTTGGTCGCCTATGCGCGCTCTATTACGCCGAAATACTGGGGCCGGCTCGAACATCAGTCTCTTCCTCTACAAATTGATACCAGACAACGTTTGTATCCTAACAACAAACGTTGACGCTGTCGATACGTCTCTCGTCGTCTACGGACTTTGTCAAATCGGTCAATATGGTGCTTGATAAATTGCGCGATAAAAAGCGTCAACGCCACCTCGCGTTGATTACTTCTTTGACGTTTTTCAAATAGGAACTTCACGGATGTGATGCGATCGTCCAATTAAAAACATCCTTGCGCGTGACACTTTTGATGAAATAAAAGAACAGATACCTCGTTGAGAAAAGATGATGAGATAATTCGGTGAATGTAATTAACACACGCAATATTATCATTGTCAGAAAACTTTTGTTAAAAAAAATTATATATTTCTCTCTTTTGTTATGTAAGAAATGAAGTTGTCTACTTGCAGTCTTATGTAAGAATGCGTACATATGTACGACCGATTTGTTTTTATCTTTTCCCTTTCATATACTTCACAGCAAAATATATTATATATGTGAATTCTCTCTTGCGGGAAGGACAAGGATTAGTTCGTCTTGCGAAAACACGTGCGGCGATTTCGCTCGGCGAAGGAGAACGTATGTAATCCGCGAGAAGCTTCTATTCGATTTCGTACGAGAGCCTGGGGCGAGTCCATCTGGAAATCTCGTCTATATGCGCATCCCCTCAAGCACCACCCTTCTTTAAAGATCTGTTTTTGCAACGTCGTGAGGTGCGATCTCTCTTTGCCGTTTTTCTCTCTTTCTCTCTTTTTTTTCTCGACTTTCTCTGCGTGTTTTTGTTCCACTTTTATTGATTCGTCTCGTTTTCCTAATTGGAAAACGAAAAAAAAAACGTTAAGACTTGACGAGGGGCGCGGTAGCGGCGAGAAAGGTAAATCAAGAAGAACAGCGTGTTGAAAAAGACACGGGGGGTTGGCGTAACGGGTTCGTAGCTCTCGAAATTTTAGACGTTACCTTGTCTTCTTACAATCTCTTAAACCGCCAAGTACCGGTTTACTTTGCACCTTCCGGCTCCTTAAAGTAAACCGGGATATCTTTTTACGGAAAGCACACGAAAAATAAGAACAGACTGGCAGGCTTTGGAAAAGAGATAGAAACAAAAATATTCGAGACGCCATAAAAAACTTTTTACAGAGTACTTTGATCTTCGCGCCATGTTTTGCAAAATATTGTTTTTTGTTTAGTTTTGCGAAAAACAGTGAGAAAAGACCATTTCTTTGCAGGTGTATATTGCTTTGAAATTTAAAAAATATTATGTAATTGAAGAGCAGATAAAATCGTTTTTCTTAATTTACACCCGATTTATTAAAAGAACAGGACAATGAAAAATGTCGCAGAAAATAGGAGAAAGTTTTCACATAAATATCAACTACTTAATATACTTGTTCTCTCGAATTTGCTAATACTCCTCGCGTGTGCCGTTGAAGTGTGTGAAAGTTTAATGCTGTCGAGGCATCGGCCGGGAGACTTCAGCAATTTTGATATCTTCATCTCCTTCCCACTCTCGGAAGAACCCTCTCGGAAAAGCTTCGCCTCTCAAACCATCGGAAATCGTGGATTACTGTCCTCTTTTCGTTGTGTAAGAATACCACGGCGAACTTCCGCCATGGCGAAAGAAAAATAGATCTCGCCGGATACGATGTCCCTTCCCCCTGAGAGATAACTTTTATATTTATCAAAAAAGAACCTTCTATATACGTACGCGCCACCGTCAGCTGCTCTCTTGTATTTCTTGTATTTCTAAGAACACTTTGAAAACCGCGTGATGCTATCGGCGTTGTTGATCCCCGTTTTCTCTCCGGAGGAGAGAGATGCACTACTATAAAATTTATACAACTTGAAAAAGGAGAGAGCGAGAGAGACAGCAAACGTTGAAAGCGATGCTATCACCACAAGTTCTTCACGAATCGATTTGTGTTGTTCTTATTTTTTTATCAATTTGGTCATAATTGTGTGAAAATTTGTCTTTCACCAAAAACCTATTATGAGGTTTTTAAGTTATACTACAGTTTTAATGTCGCTCGATTAGTGCTGCGCTTTTAACACTTTTAAATTCATCGTACCGCTTGCGCTCTTTCTCTTTTTCTTCTTCTCTCTCTCTCTCTCTCTCTCTCTCTCTCTCTCTCTCTCTCTCGTGTATCTCTCTTATTTCTTTTTCTCTCTCTCTCTCTCTCTCTCTCTCTCTCTCTCTCTTTCTCTCTATCTCTATCTCTATCTCTGAGTCAGAATAGTTTAAGAAAACCGTGAAATTGAATTGTCTCGAGAGCCACGTTTCCGCGACCGTATTACATCGCAACGGTGCATGAATTTGCGGAGGCATTAGAGTTACACCGCAACAAAGAAAAGCGCACAGTGAAAGAAGAACTCGATTATTCGGCCTCACGATCTCTCGCACGCGCGCGCGCGTCATCGTTCCGCCCGATTTTTCTCTCCGCCGCTCCACAGAATGCAGGTGAGCGCTGTAAACAACGGGGCGAGCCATGCATTTGCATATTTGCATTAACAAAACGGATAGTCTGATTTGCATGTTGAGCGCTTTTCATCTTTTTTATTTAAACGAGGCTGGGATATATAACCCTCTTAAAACTCGCTTCGCTCGCGCAAGTTTCACGCGCGCGCTTCGAACAGTGACAGCTTTATCCCATCGTCGTTGTAATTAAAATCCATTAAGTGTCAAAATAACTCTCTGTTTAGATTTTCGAATTCTTTACAACTATCGTGAAACAGATTAGTCAGAGTACACTCGCAATTAAAAATAATCATTTATGCGTTTCAAAGACAAATTTCTGTGTATAAAAAAAATATCTTTGTCGTTTATTTATAAGATTTTTACTTTAGATAAGACAGAAAACTTCTTACTTTGATCAAGCTAAATCTTTTTTTATCATCGACAAACTTCAGAATTTTATAATTACAAAGAACAATGACGTGCATTTAAATTTTGCTAAAAGAAAGAGACTCGTCCGCTATTTTCCGTATTACCTTGCTCGCAAAATGTGTTTTAGTCTGTCGGACACCTGGTGCCACTATATTAACCGCCACGTCTTTTAACAGCTCTCAACTTTCCGTGCTCTGCCGCTCCGCTATATTTTGTAATTTAATGTCTCGCGAGATGTGAATTATCCCGAGGCCACGCGACGTTTCTACGATCGGTTAAACACGCTCGAGCGCATACAAGGAACATTCGCAAGCATGCGATCTCGTAAATCTGTCCATCTCGCATTCGTTGCGAGAACATCATGCATCCTGGAAGTTTTCGAGCTGCCGTCGTAGCTGCGGGGCTCGGCTGAATGGACGCATCGATCACGTATTCCGAATGCGCTTCCCTCCCACGACCTTCTCTCTCTCTCTCTCTCTGTCTCTCTCTCTCTCTCTCTCTCTCTCTCTCTCTCTCTCTCTGTCTCTCTCTGTCTCTCTCTGTCTCTCTCTCTCTCTCTCTCCTTCTCTCTCTTTCTCTGCGCGCTCTTCCCGCGCTACGACCGATCGTAAATCGATCTATCAACCCCTCGCGAGTCACGAA